GTGTTCTCTTTCATGCATGAATACATGTATTTATAGAGAGATCACATGACAGTTTAAAAGGTGTCTTATTATATCTTCTTTCATATTCTCTGAAACATTCATTTAATAACACATACTCACGTAATGCATGAAAGCAGAAGAAGCTATCTTGGGGAAGACAAGGCAGTGAGAAGTAAAAGGGATGATGGAGGAGGTTGGTCTGAGGGTGATTACAAATGAGTAGTCTCAAGTCATATATACTTATGAATATGTAATGGAACTCATTATTTTGTGTGATTAATGAAAATACTGAAATGAAAACTAATCATATATGTCAAATGCCTGACAGTGTGATTACATCCTGATGTCCACACATACTTCTTTCATTTCTGTCAGTCAGATATGAGAATTCTCCTTCCTTCTCATTCCTAAACAGCCTTAGCAACACCTGGCACTGCTTTTTTTTAGAAACTGTAAAAAAATTATGGTAGTATTTGCCTTTTCCTAATAGTAGTCGCATTGTACATATTTTATGAATTAGTGTTGATATATGTTCTTAGGAATATATCTGTTTGATTACTTAGATCACATTTTGCTGAACTACTTGTTTCATCACCAAATTTTGATTTGATATACTTTCAAGTTCTTTATTTTTATGACTTACAATATGTCTTTATGTCTATGTCTGAACATATTCCATATATATATAAAACAATATCATTATTTCAGTCTTCCTAGAAATTAATGTTCACTAATCAGCCATACCCTCCTGCAGTGTATATCCTATAATTTTTGAATTTCTATGTGAAGAAATATCAAAATCAATTTGACAATTTCTTTAGAAAAGGTTTTTGGGTCTCCATTACAATATATTTCAATCTATAGGTCAGATAGTGATATAAATCAAATCTTAACAATATTGAGTAACACATACTTAAATATGTTAAAGAAATACTAGTAGTAATATTCTGTATATTTAAGTGCATAGTATTTTCATAACTTCTGTCAGATTAGTGCATGAATGCTTCATATTGCTATTGCTTTTATATATGGCTTTATTTATAAAATCAGTATTTTTTTGTTGTCACCTCACAGAAATGCGTTGAAAGTACACTGATCCCATATCATTAAGCTGATGACCTGTGACTATTATTTTTAATTCTAACACACTTCCTACTGTCCAAAAAAATCATCATGCAATCTGTAACTGAAGATAATTCCATTTCTCCCTTTTAAATTTGCATTCCTATTTTTAGGTCATTGTATTACTCTGATTTAGCACCTCCAATTAAAATTTTGACTAGAATAATTATCAACAATATACATTATTTTATAAGCATGGAGAATTCTGGTTCTGTCTTTCTTCAGATAGAATGATGCTATTCACAGCTTTTCAAACCTTTACATGTATCTATTCCAGGAACTTTGCTTCTGCTGTTATTCAGTGTCTATTATAGATGTGGATTCAATTTTGTCAACAGTTTTATATTTGGGGTGAACTTAATTTTTTCAGTATGATTCATTATACAGATTTATTTTATAATGTTAAATAATGTTGTATTCTTAGATTAAACTCCATCTAATCAAGATGTAGTATCTTTACATATTTTGTCATTTCGTTTATGTAAAGATATGTAAGAGTGTTCACATATGTCTCTGAAGCTCTTTCTCCTGGTGATTCACTGTTCTCCTCTTCTCTACTCTAGAAAATATTCTACATATGTCACTATACTTTTCTGTTCTATGAATTCTGTTTTAATGATTTTAGAATTTGATGTTTCTTTTCTGAGTGTTTATGACATTTCAACTAAATAAATGCAACTGTAAATTCTTACAAGATATTTTAAAGTTCATTTTATGGTCTTTGTCATCATTTCTAAAAGTTGGTTTACCTTGCCATGAGCTGGTTGTTATGTTCTCTTCCAAGCTGTCATTAATTTTTTTTGCTTAAAATTATTTTTATTTCATCTTCAACTTTTTAAAAATTATGTTAGATAATTGTTAATAAAGATTCTATGTTAGTTTCCTATGCTTTTTTTAATAGAAATTCACTTTTAAATCACAGTTCTGGATATTGATCCTTTTAGACTATGTAGTGAATGGTTTATTTGCAACATTCAATTCTGGTTGGTTGATTTTTTTCACTGGAAATCCCACTGTTCTCTGTTTGCTTAGCCTGAAGAGATGAAAGAGCTTTCCAAATTAACCTTCTGGTGTCACTAGTTATTAAAGGGATGTTCTAGTTGGAGATTTATAGCCAGTCAGCCTTTTTTTTTGGGGGGGGGGGATTGAGGGGAAGCAAGTTGACAGGAATAGTGGACCTTGCTTACCACCCTAGGCTTTTGCTTCAGGGTAGGATTTCTGCAGTGTCAGGATGAGAAACCCTAACCTCTGTTCTGGTTGCACAGTCTCTCTGTTTGGGAAAGAGGACTTAAAGAACAACTGGAAATTCCCAAAAGGAAGGAGATTGTCTGCATACCTATGAGTAATGCATTTTTTGTGTTTCTTTAACTATTTCTTCATTAAAAATTTTTTTTGTCTTTATTATGAAGTTTTTATATATTTTACATACAAACCACAGATCCCATTCTCTTCCCTCCTCCTGCTCTCCCCAGCCTCCTCCCTCCAAACTACCCCCCCATTCCCTCTTCCAAAAAGGTAATGCCTCCCATGGGGAGTCAGCAATGCCTGGTACATTCAGTTGAGGCAGGTCAAAGACCCTTCCCCTATACCAAGGCTGTGCAATGTGTCCCACCATAAGTAATGGGCTCCCAAAAGCCAGATCATGCACCAGGGATGGATCCTGATCCTACTGCCAGAGGCCCCTTAATCAGACCAAGCTACAGAAATATCTCACTTATGCAGAGGGTCTAGTCCAGTCCTATGCAGGCTCTAAATCTGGTGGTCTAAATTTCATGAGTTCCCACTAGCTTGATTTCATTGTCTCTGTAGTTTCCCCCATCATGATCTTGAGGCCCCTTGCTCATAGAATCCCTCTTCCTTCAGTTCAACTGGACTTCTGGAGTTCAGCATGGTGCTTGGCTATGGATCTCTACATCTGCTTCCATTATATTAGTTACTCTATGATGACAGGGTATTCATCAATCTTGTTACCAGAGTAAGCCAATTCAGGCACCCTTTCCACTCTTGCTAGTAGTCTAAGCTGGGATCATCCTTGTGGATTCCTGGAAACTTCCCTAGCACTAGATTTCTCCCTATCCCAATAATGTCTCCCTCCATTAAGTTTTCTCTTTCATTGTTCTCCCACTCCATCCCTGTTTCAGTTCAACCATCTCATTCCCTTGCATTCTAATCACCATCCCTTACTCTCTGTTGCTCCCCATCACCCCTAGTTTATTCAGGAATTCTCATCTATTTCCCCTTCCCAGGGTGATCCATGTATTCTTCTTAGAGTCCTTCTTGTTAGTTAGCTTCTCTGGAGCTGTGGGTTGTACTCTGGTTATCCTTTGCTTTACATCTAATACCCACTTATGAGTGAGTGCATACCCTGTTTGTCTTCCTGAGTTCTGGTTCCCTTACTCAGAATATTTTCTAGTTCTATCCATTTTCCTGCAAATTCCATGATGTCATTGCTTTTTACTGTTGAGTAGTACTCTAATGTGTATATGTACCACATTTTCTTTATCCTTTCTTTGGTTTAAGGGCCTCTAGGTTGTTTCCAGGTTCTGGCTATTACAAGTAATGCTGCCATGAGTAGCTGAGCAAATGTCCTTGTGGTATGATTAAACATTCCTTGGGTCTTGAGGCAGGTTGATGCCCACTTTTCTGAGAAGCTACCATACTGATTTCCAAAGTGTCTGTACAATTCTGAAACTGAGACTTTGTATCAAAGGACAGTGTAAATAACACAAAATGACAGCCTACAGAATGGGAAAAGATCTTCACCAACCCCATATCTGACAGAGAGCTGATCTCCAAAATATATAAAGAACTCAAGAAATTAGCCATCAAAATACTAACAATCCAATTTTTAAAGGGCTACAGAGCTAAACAGAGAATTTACAACAGAAGAACCTTAAATGGCTAAAAGAGATTTAAGGAAGTGCTCAGCATCCTTAGTCATTAAAGATTCTTAATTCTTCCTGTGGTTTACCTCAAAGTTTATAATCATACCCACATTTGTGTGATTTGCTACAACTACATTGAGACCTACACATTTCTTACTCAACTTTCCTTTCATACACTGATTTTTCCATTGACTGTTTTCTATTTTGCTTTGATTTTTAGGAAATCAGGACCATTTTTGCAGATAAAACTTGACCTACTTATTCTATAATTTCAAATATTGAGAATTACTGATTATACCAAACTCCTTTATTTTCTCAGCTTCTCAGAGAAAAGAAAAGAGTGAATAAAGTTTTGAAGAAGGTTTTTGATAAATTCATGAAGCTTTACAATTATTCTTTGGTCCATACCTGCAAGATTAGTTTCCTTTTATTGTCAAAGATTATTGAATTTTACAGTACAAAAGACATCCCCATTAAGCAGTAATTAAACTAACAGATACAGTGGCTACAAGATTACTTAACATATATCATTCTGTAGACTTTGCAATCTCATCTCTAACACTGCCTAAGATAAACACCTCAGGAGGTGTTCCATGGATGTTACTGGGAGGTTCAAATTGCAGTGTTTAAGACAGCAGCAAGCCAGGCGGTGGTGGTGCACGCCTTTAACCCCAGCACTCAGGAGGCAGAGCCAGGCGGATCTCTGTGAGTTCGAGGCCAGCTTGGGCTGCCAAGTGAGTTCCAGGAAAGGCACAAAGCTACACAGAGAAACCCTGTCTCGAAAAACCAAAAAAAAAAAAAAAGACAAAAGGCATAAGCATGAGAAGTAGTGGATATAAGACAGCACTCTTGAGGAAGTTATCCTTTTATCGCTCACAAAGTGTTGAGAAAATCAAGAGGTGGGAAGACAATCAATAATGCCTAGAGCTGATAACCATAAGAAAATGTACAACTAATGATGGGTACATTATTTTACTCTTTTTCTGTTTCCAGGTTCAGGTTCTTCGGAATGCTGGGGAGGAAGTGACCCTGACAGTGTCATTTTTAAAAAGAGCACCTGCTTTCCTCAAACTCCCACTGAATGAAGACTGCTCATGTAAGCATCTGTAAAGTTCAAAGAATAATTGCAACATTGCATTTGTTCTCTGTCTCCCATTTATTTTCAACCAGTAGTTTGCATTTTTTTCTTATAGTACAGTGTGTTATTTTGATACATGTACATTGTATACAGTTATCAAATCATATGGTATTAGCTTCTCAAAAATTTATATTTTCTTTTATGTCCAAGATATTCAAACTTTTTCTTTCTAGTGGTTATGAAATCTTCCATTTAACTAATTTTCACCCTCTCTGCTATCATCTCACTCTACCCATCATCTCACCATGCTCCATGTGCTTTTTTTTTTTTTTTTTTTTTTTTTTTTTGGTTTTTCGAGACAGAGTTTCTCTGTGTAGTTTTGCGCCTTTCCTGGGACTCACTTGGTAGCCCAGGCTGGCCTCGAACTCACAGAGATCCTCCTGGCTCTGCCTCCCGAATTCTGGGATTAAAGGCATGCGCCACCACCACCTGGCCTCCATGTGCTTTTTAACCACTTTATTTCTTTAGAATAAACATATTTTCAGATCATTTTTCCATTATTTAAAACAATTTTTTTCTCTTGATAATTCTTTCTCTCTCTCATGCATGCATATGTGTGTGTGTGTGTGTGTGTGTGTGTGTGTGTGTGTGTGTGTGTGTGTGTGTTGTTAATATATGATGAAACTTAAGTTTTTGCCTTAGGATAAGATATCCTTTGTTTCTGAAAATGAATAAAAATTCCATCACCTTTCATCAACTAAGGGACATTTCATTGATTGCACTGGTTTGCTATTGTCAACAAGACTATAATTATGAAAGCATCACTTTGAGATCATGCTTTCTATTATTGGGGATGTGCATACAGAAGTGGGATTTCTGGTTATGTGTTCTGTGTGTTTTTGAATACTAACTACTGAAGCTTCCACAGGGACACTGTTATTTCACATGCTCACCATCATCATCAACATTTCCTAAGTCTTAGAATCATCTTCAATGTTTTTTGCTGTTTTTTAATGATTATACAGTGATATTATAGTATTGGTTTTAACTTTCCTAATCATTAGTGATGATCAGCATCTTTACACACATTTTTTTTCCCACTTGTATCTCATTTTACATAGATGTCATTTATATGCTGAGAAATTTTCTGGCTTGGACTTGTGCATGTTTTGTGCATGTTGTGACAAGTTCAGGAAGTCATATGTGACTTTGCAATGTTGAGTTTGAATATTATAACTTTTTTGAAATTATCTTCCACCTACGGCTCTTACAGTCTTTCTCCCTCCTCTTCTGCATATATCTAAAATCTTGAAGAAAATTTGATGTAGAAATTGCATTTAAGAGTGAGTATTTTGATGCTGGGTGGTGGTGATGCACAACTTTAATCCCAGCACTCGGGAAGCAGAGTCAGGCAGATCTCTGTGAGTTTGAGGTCAGCTTGGTCTACAGAGAGAGACCCAGGATGGTCAGCAAAACAACCCAAACAAACCCTGTCACAAAAACAAACAAACAAAAAAAGATGTCTTATAATTTCTGTATAGTGACCAGGTGTGGGCTTCAGTGTTAGTTGTTATCTATTGCAAGAATCTTCTGTGATGAGGATTGAGAGATATACTAATTTTTGGGTATAACCATAATTAATTAAGAGTCTGCTATTTCCACTCATAAGAATTCTGTGTGTGTGTGTGTGTGTGTGTGTGTGTGTGTGTGTGTGTGTGTGTGTGTGAGAGAGAGAGAGAGAGAGAGAGAGAGAGAGAGAGAGAGAGAGAGAGAGAGAGAGAGAGAGTGTGTGTTCAGGGTAAGGGATATGGATGCACTTACATTCTGACCAGCATCATAACTTGAGGATGCTGTCTTTTCTCTAGTGTCCATTTTTGGCCACAGTATCTCAAATCATGCAAAATTACATCTCTGTTTTTAATTATGTTGCATTGATCAACATGTCTGTTTTTACAGAAGCACCATTCAGTTTTCATTATAAATCTGTATTATTACTTAAAATCTGGAATGGGGATACCTAAAGTAGTTATTTAAATATTCAGGATAATTTGATCTTTCCTGGGTCTTTGGTGTTTCCATATAAATTTTGATTAATATTTTAAATTATGTAAAAAGTGAATGGGAATTTTTAAGAAATTGCATTGAATTTTCAGTTTGCTTTTGGTGAAATGATTATTTTCAAAATATTAATCCTATGAATACTTTAGAATAGGCAGTCTTTCCAACTTTTCATATCTTCTTCATCTTTTTTTAATCAATATTAAAAAATTTTATTTTATGAAAGACATGTCTTTCACTTTGTTTTACCCCAATAAATGTCATTTTTATTTGAGTTTATTTCTAAATTATACTGTTTCCTATTTCTTTCTTGGTATATTTGTTCTTTGTATATAGAATAGCTTTTGATATTTTTATCCCTTTAGTTTGCTAAATGCACTTAACAGCTATAGATGTTTAATGGTGGACTATTTAGGGTCTTCCATGTATAAATTCATATTGTGTTCAAGTAATGATATGTTACTTCTTCATTTCTGTTTATATCTCCTTGATCTCCTTCATTTGTGTAATTATTTTACCTAAGTTTTCACACACTATGTTGAACAGAAAGAAAAAAAGGTAGATTTGTAAGACAAATTGCAAAATGGTCTTACTAATACAAAAAAAAAAAAAAAACTGGAGCCAGATATTGAGGTGAAAACTGAGAGACCAGAAAAGCAGAAAGAAGCCAGCCATTTTCTTACTGCTAGGAAATCCTCAGGCAAAGAGAGAGATACTTCCTGTATACTCACACCTACATACCTTTCTCTGCCCTTCCATCTTCCTCTTTCCATCCAGCTACATCACTTTTTTCTTTCCACCCAGATCTATTATTCCTGTCTGTCTATACAGAATTCCAGACCTCTATGGCTAACTGGCACTGAGATTAAAGGTTCATGCCACCCTGCCTGGCTCTTTTTCCAATGTAGCCTTGAACTCACATAGATCCAAATGAATCTCTGCCTCCTAGATGCTAGGATTAAGAGTGTGTGCTACTACTCCCTGACCTCTATGTTTAATACAGTGGCTGACTTTTTCCTCTGATCCTCAGATAGTCTTTATTGGGTGCACAAATAAAATACCACCACATTTCCCCTTTTTTGTCTAAAATGAAAAAGTTATAACTAAGAAAAACTACATACAATAAGTACAATATGAAATATATACAGGCAATCAATATATCAACAATGTCTAGTCCATTTGCATTTGACAAATCCAGGGAATATATTCTGTTATCTATCCTATTTTGGTGAGTCCAAAATGTGCTTAATTCACTTTCTATCCTAACTTGTATTACCTACCAAAAACTACCTTTGATATCTCTCAAACTTACACACTTTACACCTCTTTAGTGAGTTTCTTTTCTGAAATTGTTGACATGGAAAATTATAACTATCTTCAACTCCCTCAGAGACCCAAGAAGGAAATAATATTGCCTAGTTAAACAGGAAATGCAAACAAACAACTTCTAAAAAATGTGAGTTATTACGGAAACAACTAGCCACCTGGTTATCTGAGGTTTCTCTGCAAAGCTGGGGCATCCATGTTTGGTCTAGAGGCCTAGCATATTTGAAAGACTCATCAGTGATGCAGGATTTTCTAAAGAGCTTTCCTACCTTGTCTTAGCAATCATCAGAAGTCCTTTTATTTATGTCCTATTCATTCATTTGGACAGCATACTGTCAGCAGTTGAGGGAAGGGCCTGTTCTTGCCCAGTGGCTAACTTTTGCCACAATGAAAGTAAACTCCATATGGAGTTTCTTCATGCCCATCATCTCCTCTCAAATAGTTTCATGCTGCCAGAGCAGATATGTCTCATAGTCATAAAAAGAAGAAAAATTATCTATGTTATTAAAACATCTTAAATGCCATATTCTGCAGATCTCTGAAGTGTTTGAAGATGACCTGTCTATCTAAAATATATTTCTGCTTGACTTTGAAAATATACCTAATATGACTACAAGTTTAATTGTAATGACTAACTACTATCCTGCATTTCTTTATATCCTAATTAGTTGGTAATAATAACTTTCAAGGGCTAGCAATTTGCATTACATTGTTAAATGGACTGCATAGGTACAATACATTGAACATGATTAGAAATATATGTACAGTATTTTCTAACAAAATCAATCTCATATTTGTATCAATATACAAAATTTGTATATAATATATAAAAATCCAATCCAATGTAAAATATTTAAAACTAGCAGTTGCCTTCTAAAAGCAGATTCAATAATCTACCTTTTTATCTTATATCTATCTAAATCAATCTCAAATTTTTAACAATATACATGATTTATATACAATATAAAAAATCTAATCCAATGTAAAGTATTTATAATTAATAGTCATCTTTTAAAAGTAGCTTCAATAATCTACCTTTTATCTTATCAAATCCATATTCTCCCCTATTTTCTTTTCAGAGTAGATTCAATAATCTACCTCTTATCTATATACTCTATTTTTTTCAAACAAAAACTCTGAAACTAATTTCCTTTGTTCACTTTTTTCTTGACCATTAACAATTAGCAAATTATAACCAATCATCCTAAGCAGTGACAATTATCCATAACCCATTGAATGACCAAAAACCACCCACCTCACTTCTTGGGAATGTGGGTGTCATGTTCTTAAAATTAGTTCCTGCTTTCTGGGGGGCAAAATAATCTTTAGAGGATCCTGAAAAAAATTTTGGTTAATTGTCAAGTCCTGGTAGAGGTAGCTGCATCATTTTTTGTCCATTCTCTACATAATGGAAAAATGCAGGACTTATCTCAAGTCCTAGCTTGAGTAGTCTGTGAGGCTGTTATAATCTCAGCTAGCTATTTCAAAACTGACATGAGCAGTTTGCTGTGGTTGATATATTGTACACCCCAATAAACTTATCTGGGGGTCAAAGAACAGAACAGCCATAAGATTAAACATAGAGGTTAGGCAGTGGTAGCACAAGCCTTTAATCCTAGCATTCCAGAGGAAGA